ATGTGTTAAATCCAAAATATTTTTTAAGAATGTATTTCTTAACATATGGAAATCAATGGAAAAAAATTTGATCTATAACTAAGTTTTTGCTCTTTAATAAATGCTTTATCAAACTCTTTCATTTGAACATATTAATAACAGAGGTTTCATGAACAAAGAGTTCCATGGTCAAGGAAGTTTGGAAATGCCATCTAGGCTCTACTTACAAGCGGCCACCAGCCTCTAAGTTCCACAAGAGGAATCATATCTGTTTTATTCACTGTGGCACCTGGCACATAGATCATCAGTAAATATTTGCTGTATCAATGAATGAATGGTTCCAGAAGGTACTACAGAGAAACCAAATATGTTTTCCAAAACAAATTAAGGTAAGTGAATGAAAACAGAAGAGAACTATACTGATAATCACTGTTTAAGAGGTGTAGCAGGAAAACAAAACAAAACACCCTGCTTGTGGCCTTATAAAACAATTTCAGGGGAGGCTGAAAACAACCTGCTGTGAACAAACACCACAAGAAGGGCAGAATTAAGCATCAGTTTAGGATCAGACCTTTGAAAGCATCTGTTGCTCCAGGAGCACAGTTCTTGTCAGGATGAAATTTCAGGGCAAGTTTTCGGTAAGCTTTCTTAAGTTCTTCATCACTGGCATTTCGTGCAACTCCCAGAATTTCATAGTAATTTCTGCATTTCTTGATTCTAAAAACGCAAATCAGAAACACTTTTTGTATGTCTACAAAGGCCCCTTTTGTGCAATTAACTGCAGAAGAGTACATTCTCTCTCTAACCTCCGAAAACAAACCTAAAAGAAAACTGGTGAACACATTAATGAAACATTCAATTCATTAACAATGTCCTCCTTCCACTGAGTGAATAATTCCTTTCAAAATATTTTTTTACATCTGATAGTTTATTCTTTCTATATTCCTGTAAGTGGATAGAACAAGTATCCTAATTCTTCTACTAAGGCCCAGGCTAAGGTCCTCAGAGTTGAACCACAGGATAGTAACGCCAAAAGAAATACCCTAACCACCCCCTTTTTTTTTTTCCTTTTCCTCCCTCTCTATCCTTTTTTCTTTATGGTTATCTTTTGAAACTTTGTTTTAAAAAGTTAATATACATTGTAAAATGATTATAAATCAATAAAAAATGTTAAAAAAAGTTAATATATTCGCATGGTGGAAGAAAAATATCCAGTAGTACTAAACTATATACAGTGAAAAATCTTCCTGCTTCCCCATTCCCTGTCCCCCAATTTCCTACTCCAGGATAACCACTGTTAGAAATTTTCTGTGAATCTTATGTACAAAGAGAACACATGTATAGAGACCTCACCATTTTTTTCTTACCTAAATGGAAACATATTACAATCATCCTTCTACATCTTGCTTTTTTTTAACTAACAATTTATCCTGGTGATTGATTCATGACTTATATGAGAAGCTTGTATATGAGAAGTATAGGGATAATAGTTTAGACCACCAGAGTGGCAGTTCTGAACTTTTTGATCTAAGTCTTTAATACTCTTTTTTTTTAATTGCAGCATAGTTGATTTACAATGTTGTGTTTGTTTCAGGTATACAGCAAAGTTACACAAACACACACACACACACACACACAATATACTTTTTCAGATTCTCTTCCATTATAGGTATTACAAGATATTGAATATAGTTCCCTGTGCTATACAGTAAGTCCTTGTTATTTTGTTGTTTATCTATTTTTTTATCTAGTATTGTGCATCTGTTAATCCTAAACTCCTAATTTATCCCCCTTCCTCTTTACTCTTTGGTAACTATAAGTTTGTTTTCTATGTCTGTGAGTCTGTTTAAGAAGGCTTTTATACTCTTAAATATTACTGAAGACCCCAGAAAGGCTTTTGTTTATGTGAGTTATAGCTATCAATATTTACTATACTAGAAATGAAAACAAAAAATTTTAAACACAGGATGATATAATTGCATGTCATATAGCCTTTCAAAAATTCCACTGTATAACCCTGAAGGAATGAGAGTGAAAAAGGCAAATAATGTTTTTATATTATTATGAAAAGTTTTAAACTTGCACACCACCCCTGCTCCCCCAAAAGGATCTTTGGGATTTCCTATATTTTTCTCAAACTATACTTTGAGAATGGCTGGACTAGAGCATGAACTCTGCAGTCAAAATGCTTTGGATGGGGTCTCATCTTGCTGTGCACTTACTTCTGTGCCTTAGTGTTATCTTCTGAAATAGGCTAATAAAGCACACCTGTATTTCACAGAACTGTTATGACTAAGTGAAGTATTCATTAAAATGCTTGATAGCATCTGACATGATGTAAATATTGGCTATTATTAAAAATCTACCACATTTTTTTAAAAAAGCTGAATATTATTGAATTTTATGGATGTATGTACATTCCCTACTGATGGGCATTTAAAGTATCTGCATCTTTTTGCTACCACACAATTGAGTTAGGCAGGTAGAGGGCCCAGAGCCTGCTGAGGAGTTCACAGCAAGTCAGTAATACAGGCTAGACTATAACGTCAGTCAGGGCCATTCCCTAAGAGGTGCCAGTGGGGATCATATGGCTCCCCACCCTAGCTTCCGATCCCTGCTTCCATGGTAGATACTCTCCTGCCTCTCTTTTTTGTACATTTATATTTGTTTAGTAACAGCTTCACTGAGATAAAATTCACATATCACAAAGTTCACTTTTTTAAAATTTTAAGATGAATAAAATTGTCATTAAGGCATTTTAGCAAAACTGTCATGCAGACAAATTCTGCACTCAGAATACCTGAATTAGAATTCCAGCTCTTTCACTAACTTTAACAAAGTTCACTTTTTTCCAAATTGAGGAATAGTTGATATTGACTCTTTTAAAATGTATGATTCAGCGTTATGTTTTTTTTGTTGTTGTATATTCACAGAGTTGTGCACCCATCACTACTAATTCCAGAACATTTTCATCACCCCAAAAAGAAACCCCATACTCATTAGCAATCACTCCTCATCCCTCTGCTCCCCAAACCCTGGCAATCACTAATTTTTCTGTCTCTATATATTTGCCTACTCTGGACATTTCATATAAAAAGAATTATATAATATGAGACCTTTTGTGTTTGGTTTCTTGTACTAACACAATATTTTCAAGATTCATTCATGTTGCAGCATATATCAGTACTTCATTACTTTTTATTACCAAAAAATGTTCATTGTACAGATATTCCCCATTTTGTTTATCCAATTATCAGTTAATGGACATCTGGGTTGTTTCTATTTGGGGGCTCTTATGAAAAATGCTATATATGAACATTCATGTACAAGTTTTTGTCTGGAAGCATGTTTTTATTTCTCTTGGTATATATCTAGGAGTGGATGGCTATGTCATATGCTATGTCTAACCTTCTGAGGAACTCCCATACTGTTTTCCAAACTGGCTGCAGCATTTTTCATCCCTACCAGCAATATAGAAGGGCAATTTCTCCATGTCCTCACCAACACTTGTTATTGTCCATCTTTTTGATTATAGACATCTTAGTGAGTACGAGGTAGTATGGTATCTCATTCTGGTTTTGATTTGCATTCCTCTAATGACTAACGATATTGAGCAAACTCTTCGTATGCTTATTGGCCATTTGTATATCTTTGAAGGAATGCCAGTTCAGATTCTTTGTCCATTTTTCAATTGGCTTACTGTCATTTTATTGTTGAGTTGTAAGAGAATTTTGTATGTTTTAGATATAAATCCCGTATCAGATATATAATTTGAAAATCTTTTCTCCCATTTTGTGGATTGATTTTTCACCTTCTTTATGTTATCTTTTGAAGTGCAAAAGTTTCTAATTTTGATGAAGTCCAATTTACCTGTTTTTTCTTTTGTCATTTGTGCTTTGGGTGTCAACAAAAAATCATTACCTAATCCAACATCATGAAGAGTTACATTTATGTTTTCTTCTAAGAGTGTTACAGTTTTAGCTCTTGCATTTAGGTCTTACATTAGGTCTTTGAATTAACTTCCCTTCCTCACACAAACACCTTACATTAGGTGTTTGTGTGAGGAAGGGAACCAAGTTCATTCTTTTGCATGGGGATATCCTGTTGTTCCAACATTTGTTAAAGACTATCCTTCCCCCATTAAATTGTCTTGGCACACTTGTCAAAAATCAATTAACCATAAACATAAGGGTTTGTTTCTGGACTCTCAATTGTATGCTATTGATCTACCTGTCTATTCTATGCTAGTGCACACTATCTTTATTACTGCAGCTTTGTATTAAGTTTTGAAATTGGAATGTGTGAGTCTTCAAACTTTGTACTTCTTTTTCAAGACCGTTTTGATAACTAAAATCAGGAGTGAAATAGGGCATAGTTATTTTAGTATTCTCCTGATTTTAGTTATTTTAGTATTCTCCTTTTCTTTGCTTGGTCAGTCTAGTTAAATGTTTGTCAATTTTGTTGATATTTTCAAAAATCAGTGGGAGAGGATATAGCTCAAGTGCTAAAGCACATGCTTAGGTCCTCGGTTCAATCCCTGGTACCCCCTCTAAAAATGAATAAATAAATATACACCCCCTCCACCTCCAAAAAACCTGACTTTAGGTTTTGTTGATTTTGTCTATTGTTTTTCTATCCTCTATTTCATTTATTTCTATGCCATATTATTTCCTTCATTCTGCTTCTTTGAATTTAGTTTCTTCTTCTTTTTCTATAGAATTAGGTTATTGATTTGAGATTTTTTTTAAAAATATAAACATTTACAGCATTTAAAGCTATAAATTTCCTTTTAAGCATTGCTTTAGCTGCATCTTATATGTTTTCGTATGTTGTGTTTTCATTTTAATCCATCTCAAAGTATTTTCTAATTTTCCTTGTGATGTCTTCTTTGACCTATTTGTTATTTAGGAATATGTTGCTTAATTGTCACATATTTGTGAATTTCCCAAATTTCTTTCTTTAAAAAAAATTTATTTATTTTATTGAGGGGGGAGGTAATTTGATTGATTGATTGATTGAAATAGAGGTACTAGGGATTGAACCCAGGACCTCCTGCATCCTAAGCATGCACTCTAACCACTGAGCTATACCCTCCCCCTCTCCAAATTTCCTTCTGTTGTTAATTGCTAAGAACATACAATGTTTGATTATTTTATTTTATTTTATTTTATTTTATTTATTTTTTAGTTGAAGTATAGTCAGTTTACAATGTTGTGTCAATTTCTGGTGTACAACATAATGTTTCAGTCATACATATACATACATATATTCCTTTTCATATTCTTTTTCATTATAGGTTACTATAAGATATTGAATATAGTTCTCTGTGCTATACAGTACAAACTTGCTGTTTATCTATATTATATATAATAGTCAGCATCTGCAAATATCAAACTCCCAATTTATTCGTTCCCACCCCCTTCCCCCCCCCCGGTAACCTTAAATTTGTTTTCTGTGTCTGTTAGTCTGTCTCTGTTCTGTAAATAAGTTCATTTGTATCTTTTCTTTCAGATTTCACATATAAGTGATATCATATGGTATTTTTCTTTCTCTTTCTGGCTTGCTTCACTAAGAATGACGATCTTCAGGTCCATCCATGTTGCTGCAAATGGCAATATTTTATTCTTTTTTGTGGTTGAGTAGTATTTCACTGTATTAATATACCACAACTTCTTTACCCAGTCATCTTCCAGTGGACATTTAGGTTGTTTCCATGTCTTGGTTATTGTAAATAGCGCTGCTATGAACACTGGGGTACATGTGTGTTTTTGAATTAGAGTTCCCTCTGGATATATGCCCAGGAGTGGGATTGCTGGATCATATGGTAAATCTATTTTTACGTTTTTAAAAATATACTCTTTTGTTTGTTTGGTTGGTTGGTTTTTTTGTGCGGGAGAAATTAGGTTTATTTATTTATTTTTTTAATGGAGGTACTGGGGATTGAACCTGGACCTTGTGCATGTTAGGCATGCACTCTACCACTAAGCTATACCTTCCCCTCTATTTTTAGTTTTTTTAAGGAATCTCTATACTGTTTTCCATAATGGCTGCACCAAACTACATTCCCAACAACAGTGTAGAAGGGTTTCCTTTTCTCCACACCCTCTCTAGCATTTATCATTCGTGGACTTTTGAATGATAGCCATTATAACTGGTGTGAGGTGTTTTGACTGCATTTCTCTGATAATTAGCGATATTGAGCACTTTTTCATGTGCCTATTGGCCATTTGTATGTCTTCATTGGAGAATTGCTTGTTTAGGTCTACTGCCCATTTTTGGATTGGGCTGTTTGTTTTTCGTTATTAAGCTGTATGAGTTATCTGTACATTCTGGAAATTAAGCCCTTGTTAGTTGCATCATTTGCAAATATTTTCTCCCATTCCGTAGGTTGTTTTTTGTTTTGTTTATTGTTTCCTTTGCTGTGCAAAACTTATACATTAGGTCCCATTTGTTTGTTTTTGCTTTTATTTCTATTGCCTGGGTAGCCTGCTCTGGGAGGACATTGCTAAGATTTATGTCAGAGAATGTTTTGCCTATGTTCTCTTCTAGGAGATTTAAGATGTCCTGTGTTATGTTTAAGTCTTTAAGCCATTTTGAGCTTATTTTTGTGTATGGTACGAGGGAATGTTCTAACTTCGTTGATTTACATGCTATTGTCCAGCCTTCCCAACACCACTTACTGCAGAGACTGTCTTTTTTCCATGTATACTGCTGCCTCCTTTGTTGAAGATTAATAGTGCTTGATTTTAATCCTTTTAAATTTATTGAGTCATGTTTTATGGCCTAACATATGGTTTATCTTGGAGAGAATTCCATGCATACTTGAGAAGAATGTGTGTTCTGCTGTTTTGGGTAGAATGTTGTACAGATGTCTATTATGTCAAAATGGTTTTCCCTGTCTTTCTTACAACAGAAGCAGGGCAGTGACCTCAGATTATGCCCTAATATTCCACTTCCATCTAGCCTTGCCTCTGGGCCAAGAAGCTATTGTGCTTCAGTAATAATAATAAAAAATAGTAATAGCGGTCAATCCTTACATAGCACATTGTCTGTGCCAGGCACTCTACATAAATTCTCTTATTTAATCCCACCACAGGCTCACCTTTGTACCCCAAGCAGCTGCTCTTCAGTATAAGTGGTGTTCCCTTCACCCTGCCAGGTCTGATTCCACTCATTCTCAGACTTCTTTTCCTTTTGTGCCTTCATGCAGTTACAGCAACCACAGGGGTCATGGCTTTCAGGAGGTCTGTCTTCTGGGTATTTGTTTCTTCGAACTGCATCAATGTAAGCTGCAAAGCAACAGCACAATGAGGCCTCGTGTTGACCTGCAAATCAACTTTACTACTGGCCTTAGCCAACCGGGACGCTGCTTGTAGGCATGAGCAAGTGAGTGTGAGGGCCAGGCTACTGACGTCATCTGACTTTTAAGCATCCATACAAAGCTGAACAAACATCTTCCTTGAGAAAACAGTACAGAAAATACACAGGCAACCATGAAGAACTTATAATGCCAGAAACATGAAGCATAATAATGTCCACCATACCTACAGTGGTCAGTGAGCAAGTAATCATGACAGAGCCAGTAAAGGGTTCAAGAGGTACCTGGCCAATACCTTGCCTTTACGGCAGCACAGGAGAAGCCTATTTCTTTGTGGTCCATGTTCAGAAGTGAATTGATCATAAAACATTTTTTGTTGCATTGTCTCCCACTACTAAGATTTACAGCAGAGTTGATGTCAACTTTTTAAACTCACAGTTATAGAATTAATACCTACAAGACATCTGGCTGGACAGATCAAGCAGATTTATGGGTAAGACTTACTCCTGACCACAAAGACGTTATAGTTTAAAGGGAGAGGTTTTAACTAATCACAATGCATGCAGAATGCAGAGGGTCACAGCAATCTAGTTAAGGAAGGCATAATACTCCTGTCCTGTCTGGAGGATCTGGGAAAAACTTTAAAAACATCTTTCTCCTGCTTAACATCTCTTAGTGACTACCCACTGCTCCCTGTTCAGATTTCTTATCATGGGCCCAGCCTGCCTCTCCAGCCTCATCTCTCACCACAAGCTCCTTTGCAGTCTATGCTCTAGATCACACCAAACTCCTTTCACATCAGCAAAGCTTTCTCTTTTCTCTGTGTCTTTGCATATACTGTTCTTTCTGCCTGCAAAACCTCCTCTAAGTAGGCCTGTCTAACTCCAACGCATCCTTCATGTCACCATATGTAACACTTTCTCCACGAGGCATCCTCTGACACCCAGACTGTGTTGAGTGCCTTGTCAGTATGTTTCCCAAACATATGACCTTGCTGTGTAGCACAGGACTTATTGGCCGTTCTGTAATTGACTGCTTAGCTGCCAAACTCCCTCAGTAGACTGAGAGTTCTGTGGGATCAGAGGCCCATGTCTTCAAATCTCTGCTGCATGATCAGCATAATACAGGGTACTCAATAGGTATTGGATCAGTACTCTTTGCCTGACTGTAGGATAGAAAAGGCCGGCCTATGCGTCCTGATGTTGGCTGCAGGGACAAGCTCAAACTGAGGCCGAGGTTGAGGCGGCCCAGTTTGGAGGCGATGATAAGGACTAGGTAAACAAACTGCAGGAGACCGCACCACCGTGCTAACCCTGGGGCGGGCGGGGCCTGCCCGCTGAGGGCCCTGGGCGGGGCACGGGCCGGGGCGGGGCTGGGGGCCGGAGGCAACAAGTCGTCACGGGTGACTCTGGCTACCGGGCCGGGTCCTCAGCTTGCGCCAGCACTCCTGGTTTCCGGATCCCGACCGCCTGCCCTGGGCTGTCCCCCACCCCTCCAGGAACCCTCCTCAGGCCCAGCATCTTCTCATAGGCCTCCGTGCTTCATCTTAGGCCCAGGATCTCAGCCCTTTCAGGCGCCGCCAGGAGCCGCATCCCAGATTTCTCTCTGACCCTGCCCTGTCCCACCCTCCGGTCAGGATCTGGTACCTTCCGTCCAACGCTCCCCGCTGCCCAGAGTCGCTGCCATATCGGTTCCCAGTCAGCGGATCTGGCGAGCCTCCCCGGCGTCCGAGGCTGAGAGAGAAGGGGGCAAAAAAAAAAAAAAAAAAACGCGGAGCATGCTGGTCATTGTAGTCCAAGCTATAGTATATGTGGGCCATTGGACTACAATTCCCGACAGGCGCCGCGCGAGGGGTCACACAAGCGGTGGTGTAAAGGGGCGCGACCCTTGGAAGAAAGGCCTGTGAAAGTGTGTTGCTGACAGTTAACTGCTGCTCGACCAGCGGCTCACAGCCTGAAACTGTGGCAACAGGGGGCTGCGCTTTTCCTCATCTGTAGAGTGGAGATCGTAACTTCGGCCTCGCCTAACACTTGGGATGTTCAAGGAGGTGCTATCAGATCCTGCCTGGGAAAGATTTTGCGAACTACGGGCTAGAGGGTGAGAGTGTGACTATTTTTCTCCTCACGGATGTCCTAATTAAATATATGCTGTTGCCTGTTCTGTGCAAACTGTATGCTTGGTCCTCGATGGGTTTTGGTGATGCCGAACCCTACCTTGGGAACTTAAGAGCCAAGAAAGTAGAAAAGTGAGATTTATGTGGTTAGAGGGCAACTCCTCTGTCATAGCTTCATTAGAGGGACCCATAGGAGTCAGAGGCAGAGAAAAAAGAAAGGTGCAAGTATTGGAGATGGCATTAGATCCCCATGTATTTGCTGTGCCTTATCCTTCATCTATCCTATTTTACTCCAAGGCCCATCTGAGACTTTCCCCTTCCCTTCCACCCCAATTATTTCCTTGGTCTTTCTCCTTTTCTAAAGGACCCAGCCCTAGGAAATTAGTAAAAAGGCAGTGAAGAAATATTCCTACTTTTCCCCACTCAGATTTGCATGGAGCCTAGCAAAGAATAAAGGCAGTTCTTCATAGGTGGATGGGTATTGTCCTTACTGACTCATCCCTGCTGGTGAGTTGAGATGGCCAAAAATCAGGTCCACAAAAGTGAAAAATGATCATGTACATCCCCAAACAAAAGTTACTTGGAATTCATTGAGACCTTACTCAGGAAAACCAAGTCAATTGCGTCAACTTTGATATTAATCGACAGCTCCTTAGGTAGTTG